GCGGTGATAAATCGCTAACTGAGCGGGTTAGCAGTAAGATCGCTGCAACGGCACCCTGTGAGCTATAAGTACACCCCTCTCACACATCGCGTCCAGGTCATTGCACCCCAGACCCCCAGACATGGGCTTCCCAAAGGCGCCGTGGCATATCTGTGGTTAGGGCCGAAACAGGGGCGGGCCACATTCATCGCATATGACCACTTCACTCTGACAAAAAAGACGGGCACTTGTTGGTACTAGGGACCTTGCGTAATCTTCGTGATCCAGAGCTCTTCTGCAGACGCATCATCATATCTGGTATGTCTGCAAGTCCGGCAGTAAACCAAGAAAATGAGATAAGTAGACTTCGTCGGTTATCACATAGTCAAACGACAGCATGCATGCATATCAACCCGAGCGGACTCCTTGTTGGATATTTTTGTTGTTGTAGGCTGTTGGTGGACCACTCAGATTCAGGGGGTGGCTATGCAATAGTTCGTCGTCCCCCCTCAATACTGACTTGACCCCCTTCAATACTCTTCTGAGCCCCCCCCCCCCCCCAATGCATATGAGCAAAAGGGAAATACTGGATAAATGAAACGCAGCAAACGTTGAACTGCTGGTGCGCTAGGTAACTTACCGTATCACTATCAACATTATTGGTAGCATGTATAATCACTACCACTATGTCAGCTTCAGATAGAAAGTCATTGTTCAGTATCAGGAAAGTTGGTCAATATCAAAGCTGATCAAACATTATTCAGTTTTGAATTTGATGTCACGGACGCAAGTGAAAGTGACCGCAACCCGGGGAGCGATCAGGATTTGAGATAAGTTAGGTCAACTGTATTGGTTCAGATCTCCCCCCCCCCCCACACACACACTTCAACCGATTCAGGAGGGTAACAGCCTTGATCCAGTAACATCCGCTGTGCGATGCAGTCCTCTGCATACGGTAGGCGAGCCAAAAATAGCACCATTTTTAAACAAAGAAACGCTGGGCGGCTGCTTGGTGAAGCAGGCAAATCGCAAAGAAAGGCCTACAACTCTTGGTCCTCTGGCAATGCGAGTTTGAAGGACAAGAACACCGAACTTCACGACACCGTGAGGTCAAGAATGCAGGCAGGGGGCAGGGGACACGTGCCCCCCCCCCCTCAGTTTCCGGGGGATATTCGAGCCCCTCGGAACCCACGATTAAGGGCCCGAAGGGCCAGCCGGAGGTCGCATTCAGCGACCCCGCCCCGCAGGGCCGGGCACTCCGTCGCCAGGCAGAGGACTATGCGCGCTGATCGGGGGGCACCCTGAGCCGACAATGGCCTATACATTGATCAGACACCATCAGTAACGCACAGTCGACTCAGTGGCGGCATGGGCCTGAGGGCCCATTTCCCTAGCAGGGGCAAAGCCAGATCCAGCAATTTACATCGGTCGGGGCCCCAGCGTCTGTCAGGCCCCATAGCCACTGACGGGGCCCTGCGTTCGCAAGGGGGTCCGAGTCAGCCAGAGGCAATATTGAGGAGAACCTGGGATGCCTAGAAAGAACACCAGGTACCGACGATCAATGACCCGATTGGACGGTCTAAGGGCATACAGGACTGGTCAGGGTTCTTACTCAAGGACACGGCCAGCGGGGACGGACACTCAGATGAAACATAACTTAAAGAAATAAACATAAATAATAATAACAAATAACAAATAAATAACTTAAATAAATAACAATCAGAAGCGTCCTTAGCGCCGACCGAGGATCCACGGAGTCGATTGTGGGCCTATATGTCGGTTGCGCACCACCAGTGCCGCACAGTCGGCTCCGTGTCAGTATTGGTCTGAGGGCCTTCTTCCCAATCTGGCCCTGTATATATCTGGGGTCCACAGCGCCTAACAGAGGGTTCCCGTGCTCGCGGCGGCCCTAGCCGACCAAGGAAAGTGTTCGATGAAGCCCCGAAGAGAGGTCCGGGCGCCCCCTGGAAACCGACGAACCAAGTTCCAGTTGGAGCGGCATAAGGGCCCGAAGGACTGGCTCGTAGGTCACATAAAGAATCACGGCCTTTTGTGGTCGTGACCTAAAATATTAGTCAGAGGTTCTCTTGCACCGTCTGAGAAACTCCTGAGATAAAGCGGGTGTCTTATTGGTCAGACACCGCGAACTTCGAACAGTCGCTCCAAGTCCGCTTGAGGCCCTTGGGAGTCATTTCCCGAACAGGAACGAGGCCGGAGGCCGCGATTTCCAATGTTCGGGGCCCCTCACACAAAGAGGGGCCTCTGTGTCGGTCAGAGGCTACAGTGCCTAACAGGGTTCTTGTGGCGGCAAACAGACCCGAGTAGGAGCGATGTTTTAGGGAGCCTGAAGAGGGGCCGAAGGGTCTTCGAGATAAAACATCAAGGGCTTGATTGGAGGGCTGTAGGTCCGAAGAGAAGGCTGTAGGTCATATTAAGGCCGTAACCTCAAATATCAGAAAGAAGGCCCCTTGCCCCGGTAGGAACAGTCGGCCCTATGTCAGTCTGAGTTCTGGGGGCCTATTTACCAAGCAGGGGCAAGGCCGGCCCCGCGATATGCGTTGGTCGGGGCTCCTGTATCGTTCAGGGGCCCACAATGCCTAACAGGGTGTTATGTTTCAACAAGGGGACGATTTGTTAACAGGAACGGGGATGTGAGTCCGAAGAGAGGGCCTCTTGCGTTGGTCGGGCCTTCCAATAATGAAAGGAAACATGGGAACTTATAATGAGTGCTCGCATTGGGCAATGGAAGGTCCTTCGCCAGGCAGGCCCCCAGTACTAAACGGTGGGCCCGCCAGCCCAATTCCAGCATGGGCCCATTAAGCCGAACTAGAATCTATGCGTCAATCATTTGACCACCTGTGGCCACCAGGGATACTGTGGCATCAATGAGGGTTCCTACGTCGATCCAGGGTCGACTACGCGGCTCAGAATGCGTCCCGCGACAGGGAGCGGACCAACGTGAATGATGCCTCTCTCTAAGGGCTTCCGGATCGGCTAGGGGATCCCGCCTCGTGTCGCCAGAATGATGGTCGAAAGACACACCGCGGTGGGACAGAACAGCCGTTCACCCCTTGACCGGGAACAACAATGCGCCCCGTAGTGTTCGACTCGAACGGCCCTTTTCTCGGAAAGAAATATGGAGTCTCGTTAGTGTTGAAAAGAGTAGGTCGAAATGAGTTTAAGAAAAACGCACAAAACCATTCCATGTTTGCCTGGAAACGTTCATTCTTTTGCAAAATAGACTAGTGAAGCGAGTATTATCACAAGGTTTGAGCGCGCGTGTCGGGTGCCGATAGTGTGGTGGTTAACACCTCCGCGTCAACCGCTGCGCGTCTGGCTAACCAGAGGTACGGGCTTCGATTCTCCGTGGTGCCCGCCATTCCTCCCAGAGCAAGAGGCAGGCGGCGCCATATAGCTTCAGCAGCTGAGCACGTCGCAAAGCCCCAATGGCTCGCCCGCAATCTCGGGGAGCAAGGACAGCAATGGCCTGGATCGCAATTTCCGTAGCGCCGAACGGCGTTGGCAGCTGCAAGTAAGACCAGGCGGCGGGCGCCGTGCGCGCAACGACCATCGTAAAATTATGTGTATGAATGTCTTTCAAAATTAATTCGTACAGTTTACACGGATTAGACAGGATTAATCTTTTTACAACTTTGAAATTGTTCTCTAGACAGGTAGACAGTCTAGGCGAACGAAAGTAGAAATTCTAGCTTTAGCCCCCCCAATTCCACGACCAGATTCCAGTACCACTTCACAAT